TATATGTTGAATTTTAATGAAGTCATAGCAAATCTGACATATTGTATATAAAGGAGGGCTGAACAAGGGTGCAGGATCAGAACTGAGCCCTACATAGGGGGAAAAGAAATCAAGCAGGCCCAATTTAAAAGCTATGCATAAATGCATGTACATTGGATACACTATGATCAGGAATTCACGTCTCTGTCGAGGAGGGTTACAGTCTCCAGGCATATTTCTTCTCGTTTTTTGTGCGTGTCTAAGCCGATAAAGAAGCCGAGAGCCGGCCCGTCGTGCCGCGTCAAGCGGGGAAAGGGGGTTCTCCTCGTGGACGATGACGGATAATCGATCACCGGGGCTAAGAATGTGGCTGGCCTATTGTAGGCGAACACATTCTTCTCCTCTCTGATTTCTGGACGGTTTGACATTTATTACTGGAGAGAGGCAGATGCCGAACTCGCTCCTACTATGGTGGGGTGTAGGGAGAGAGGGAATTGGGGGTGAGGGGGTTGGATTGCCTCCCTCTTTTAAAAATGAGCTGTTGCAGAGCTGGATGGGGGTAGAGGGTGAGAGAAATATATAGAAATGCAGAGAAAGTGGGAGAGATAAAGAGAGGAAGAAAGAGTATAAAAAAGTAGAGAAAGAGAGCAGAGAAAGAGAGCAGAGAAAGAAAGTAGAGGAAGAAAGCAGAGAAAGAAACATCACGAGTGGAATAGAAATTAAAAGAGAGCACGGACAAGTGTTATAGAAAGAGATGGCAAGAGAAAGCAAGAGAGAAAAGAAGAGAGAGCAGGAGAGAGAGAGAGAGAGAGAAGGGTAGACAAAACAGCTCTAGAAATTGGAGGAAGTATGTTAATGTATTGAGAGAGACAGTCAGAATAAATGGAGATGATGAAGGATTATTAATGAGTGTAAAAGTTGTTAGTGTCACAGTAGAAGAGAGAGAGAGAGAGAGAGAGCAAAAGAGAGCTAAAAAGAGAAACAGAGAGAGAGAGAGAGGGAGAGAGAAAGGTATAAAATGGAAGGAAGAGGGGTATAACAAGTCAGGAGGAAAGAAAAGGGGGGATGGAGGCAAGGTGAACACTACGCTGGTCAGTGAACCCGTCTCGATCGTAGCCGAGCTATGTCAATAACATTGGGAGTGCGGGTGGATTCGGTTTCTTAGGTTGCCTCCAACATGGGTCGGGCAATGAATGATGATGAATGTACGCAAGGTGGAAAGGAACTATAGCTGTGGTGATATCAATCAATTCTACATGCACCCATTTTAATGCCCCCTTACTCTTGCATATTTATTCCGCCGCCTGCTCTCTCTCTCTCTCTCCCTCTCTCTCTCTCTCTCTCTCTCTCTCTCTTTCTCTCTCTCTATCTCTCCCCCTACTGTCAATTTCAAAAAGGGAGAATTCCTCCAGAGTATCCATGTCGTTATTCTGAAGCATTCCCTACAAACCCTCATCTAATGATTGATTAAAATGGTAAAAAAATACAGCACCGATCGCGAATGGTCAGTATATTGCCTTTTGAAGGCCAGAAGGGAATTAGCTCTGTGTTAAAAGTACATGAGTTACAGATAAATCCCTCCCGGCTCCAAACAGATTATGTTGTCCACTCAAAGCCTGAAGGGCATTAACTCTGTGTCAAAGTGTACGAGTTAACGCCCTTCTGGCTCCAAGCATACAATTCATTAGTACCTGCCCATAGCCAGAAGGTCGTTTACTCAACAACCTGCCATGAGTTATTGCCCTTCTGCCTCCAAACAGACAATATTACCTATGGAAATCAGAAAGTTGTTCATTTGAACACTAAAATGCTATAAGCTAATGCCCTTCTGGCTCAAATCGTCTGTCCAATGCCAAAAGGGAATTAACTCTGCGTTAAAGTATATGAATTAACACTCTTCTGGCTCCAAACAGAGGATATTACCTGAATAAAGTTGTTAATTCGGTAAAATGTGTTGAGTTAATGCCCTCCTGGCTCTCAACACGCAACAATATGACCCTGCACTATTTTTTAACAAAAAAAGTAAATCGTATTCCAAATCATATTCCTATTTAAGGTCTGGTTCTGCAAGTTGATCCAAATCCCGGTTCAGCTTTTAATATGAACCTATCAATCTTATTTGCGATTCCCATCATTCTCTTTCTATTTCCACCTTTTTCCTTCCTTCATTTAAATTCATCATACTCTCAAGGAGAGAACTATGTGACTTTTTTACAACAAGAAAAGCGCTGAATAAATGAATAACAAATGTTTTTTGTCTTTGCCGACTAATAATCAAGGTCTTCAAGCCGTAGACATCATCATACATGCATTGTCTGTTGAGAGACAGAAGGACATTAACTGGAGTTATTTTTCATAGATGTCCGTTGAGTTAATGCCCCTATTCCACTAAGCCGATGATATTCAAGAATGGAAGTGGACAATTTGCATGATCTACAAATGTATAAAGATCATTTTAACTAATCTGGCTGTCAGAATTGGATATTTCCCAGATCTTGTGTACTTTCGTCATTGAAGTCTTTTCCTCATCTTAAATTTTAGAGGAATTTTAGAAAAATCTCAGAAAGTTGTACTTGGGTTGACTTGGCTATGTTCAAATTTGGACGAGGATGCATTACATTATTCACCGCAGGATCTCCCTTACAAGAGGGCATTTACATATCGTTTGAGAATGCAGTCTTTCAGAGCAAGCCCATTCACTGTAAATTAATTAATGTTATTTTATCTTTGTTTGTCCCTTCTTCCTACGCCTTTTCTCTTTTCCTCTCTCTTTCTTTCTCTAATCTTTCTCACTTTTGCTCTCTCTCACTTTCGCTAATCTTTATCTCTTACTCTTGCTCTCTCTCTTCATCTCTCTCCTCCTCTCTTTCTCTCTTTTTCTCTCCTTTTCTTCCCTTTCTCTCGATCCCCCTTCCTTTTTGCTCATCTCTCTCTCTCTCTTTCTCTCTCTCTTTCTCTCTCTCTCTCTCTCTTCCCCCTCCCTCCCTCCCTCCCTCCCTCCCTCCCCCTCCCTCCCTCTCTCTCTCTCAATCTCTCTCACAATCTTACAGTCTAAAATCATAAACCTATTTCTGCAAACAAATATTTATACACTTTACAATACCCACTAATTTGTTATCCTTTGAAATCACAGTATAAGTAATCTACATCAGCACAGAAAAGTTGAACCTGCATTACTTGCCATGACATGTATTTCAACCCAACTCAACAATCATATTATCTAATAATCAAAGAAAGTAATTTGTTGAAAGGGACAGGCAACTATTGAACTTTTTAGATATTATTTTTGTACCACACTTTAGACTAGATATAGAAAAAACAGGAATACGGACAAGAAAAAGACAGAAAAGATGATATGAAGTAAAACATAGATTACACCGAAGGTAGGAATGAAGAAATGATTGGGTAAGAGAAGACCAAAGTTTGTGAAAGAATATAATCAGCCAAACAAGCAAAAGTTCAAGCCAATATGAGTTGGGAAAACAAAGATGAGGTAACAGATATTTTTCAACTCTCTCTCTCTCTCTCTCTTTATAATACTGGTAAAACTCTATTCCCTGAAGATCTATGGCATCCTGACTCAAGCTAAAAAAGAAACCAAACGGTGCATTATGAGAGAGACTTATCGTCATCAACACCCCACAATTTCTAACAAAATTTACATTTAGTATGATTAATGCTTTGAGAAAATGATCGCATTCCTATCACTTCCACCATCCGCGGTCTTGAGCCTTCGCGGGCCGTGTCATTCAAACGCAACGACAGCCCGATGCGCGGCTCCTAGAGTCATGTGTACAACCTGCACAGGTGCGGTATTAGTCGCCGTATAATGATAGCCCCCATAAAAAACATCGCAAAATATCTCATTCCCGTTAGTTTTGGCTCGCTTTCCCTTTTTCTTCCCTTTCCTTTTCTCTATCTCTTGCCTTGTTTTCTTTATTTTTTTTCTCTTTTCATCAGGACGGTATACTCTGTGGTTTGGTTGCCGTGGTGACCAGGTCGGCCAGGTTGAAACTTAAGCGCGTATGTTTGGACAAGTTGATTGAAGATGAGAGTGAAGAAGAGAGCTGGGGAGCGATTTCTCAGACTTCGCAAAAACGGATGTCCATGTATCGTTGGCAAATGTTAATTCAGCACAAGGAATGAAGATGGCCATTGTGATAGATACTCATGTCTTGAACATGATAAAATTAGAGACTGGCTTTGCGAGAATCGATAATCAAGCCCTGTTTGAAATGCATAAACCCAGAGTAACACTTAAAGTGACTCGGTACCATTGTTGAAGGTTGATGAAAAAACTGCGTAATTTTTGTATGAAATGTTGCTTATTATATTCCTTCTACTGTACTAATTACCCTCTAACATGCAAAAAATCCTGCACAAATTCTCAAACCACAAAGATATTTATTGTTTTCTTTGGAGGTGTCACTGTGCAACACCCTCTGACAGTAAATTCTCCCAACCATTTTTGAATTTTCCCAGCCGTTTTTCCATGAAGACATAAGACACACATTTCTTACTGCCCGCATCCATTTACATCACCGGGTGGAGTGCGGCAAAAGTGCATCAATGTCTCCCCAAAGGAGGATGGTACCACGACAGAGATTTGAACCTTTTACCTTGGGTTCTCAAGTCCATAACTTATATCCACTAGATCTCAACACCAAAACACCTGATCATTTTCCTAAAGTGGACAATGCAACATCTACAGAAGTGCTAGTAGGCACAATGTCCCAATAAATGGACCCAGAATATTGGATTAAACACTCACAACCTTGAAAACACTGGCCGCTACTTATCAGACATAAAGAATTAGACATTTAATGATCACACTTTTGATTTCACCATATCATTTTAACCTTCCCTCTTCCCTACATGCTTTCATACTACATGATATTGCATGGTTTAACTTTTTTTCTGATACTGAAAAAGAAACCTTTTGTCTGTTGAGTGTCAAAAGGGCATTTACTCAGAAAATTTAAAACAGAGTTAATACCCTTCTTGCTCTCAACAAATGATATCAAAATACCTTCCTCCTTGCGATAAAAACTCAAAGCTTTGTTTTCAAGGGATCTTTTTAACAAGATAAATACATAGCTCACCTGTTAATGCAAGGGAATGGCCACTCCCACCCGCCACGCCCACAACGTTGCTACGTCGGGTTGTCTTGCGCTGCGGCGTAAGAAGATCATCACGGCGACTTCCACAAGCTCTCCCCATACCCCAAGCATACAATTCACCAGTTGCTTGAAAAGAAAAGAAAAGCATGAAAACGATCAGTTACATACAAATTAACCAGGTGCTTCAAATATTTAAAATACTTTAGAAAAAAAAATCTTCCTGACTTTGAATGATATCCAGCAGGATGGCAACTGAAAATAAAACAAAAAGAAAAATATTTTTGATCCATACCAAAAATTAGTGCAAAGAGTCTGATCTGACCATATTGGACTATCCATTTCAATGTTTACTTTAATATCATATCCAGAAATAACTTCAATCTTCAACACAACTGAATTCAAATAACAGCTGAAGAGATTTAAATTCTAAAATATCAAAGTATAGTTAGTTTTGGAACAAAGAGAATTAGTACCAAAAAGCATTGTAAAATCGATAGACAAAGTCACAAATCACCATCTCAATATCAGAGGAACATATGTGTCAACAATACCAGAGCTTCCAAACTAAAAGTTACCCCTGCTCCAAGAACACAAAAGGAAAAGGGGGCGTACTGACAAACTTTGTTCATTAAAAACAACTTCAAGTTAGGAGGTATAGAATTTCATGCATCGTCTCAAATACAATGCTCGGATCATGCATGAACTCAGTTGCACTCGAGAGGGCGCTATTGGTGCTACAGGCTGGTCGAGTCAACGGCCCTTACAAGAGATGGATTTGGTTTCTTGCCCGATTCAAGATCAGAGGGCAATGTTATGGGCAACTGCCTCCTCTGTTATTTCAAAGGTCATGGGCTTCTGAAGAAAAAAAGGTTCCTGACTACATGTATATGGTCACAAGAGGGCACTATTCAATTCAGGGTGGATTTACAGGAGCAGTAGTAAAAAGATTTCCTTCATTATGCCATCAATCATAGAAAGTGCCCAAATTGCCTGGGATATTTCCCAATATTTCACTAATAATTCCAATGTTTAAAAGGAATCATGAATTTCTTCTAGCTCCTTTTAAAATCTTTTCATACTTTTAGCAATTTGTTTGTTTGGGTTTTGATTTAATTTTCCTTTCTTTTTGTCTGATCAGAAGAGTTTCATACACATATTACTGTAGTGATAATATCATAAATAGAGACATTTTAAAATACATTATTTTATTTTCTCATTCTTCACTAAATTTATGTGTATCATTCATATACACATACTTTTTATCCTTAAATATTTTATAGATCAGCACTTTCTAACAATATCAATATTGAAGAGACAAGTCCTCCCCTTCCAGGGTGACAAGAGATGGCGCTATTCATTATACCATAATTTACAGCTTGATTCAATGATGTTCACATGGAACTGTTTTGCTTCATCTCTTCCCAACCAATACAGGTTTCAATCGGTCAGAAAGCTGACCCTTTAGTTTTATTTGGATGGATGTCAAATCTTTATTCTTTCAAACACCCATATCATAAGGTCAATGGATGGTAATGAACTGAAAACTTGAATAAAACGAATGTTGTAGTGTAGCTAGAAACTGTAAGAAAAATATTGTTATTAACATTTTCTACATCCTCCCTGTTTAAAATAACTTGGTACAGTGAAACCTGTATATAAAGACCGCTCAAGGGAGACAAGAAAAGTGGTCTTTATGAGCAGGTGGTCTTTACCCTAGTAGTTTTGTGTGTTGCGAAAATATATTTTTCCCCTATTTTTTCCCTATTTTTTCCCTATTTTCTGGAAATGCAGACTATTTTTTCCCTATTTCCTTCAAGAAAATAGGAAAAAAATAGGGCTATTTTTTTCCTATTTTCAAGCACAAACTATTTTTTCCCTATTTTTTTCACCTATATTTTTTTTCAGACTATTTTTTTCCTATTTCCTATAAAAAAACAGGGAAAAAATAGTCCTATTTTTTTCCTATTTTCAAGTACAAACTATTTTTTCCCTATTTTTTTCACCTATATTTTTTTTCAGACTATTTTTTTCCTATTTCCTATAAGAAAACAGGAAAAAAATAGTCCTATTTTTTTCCTATTTTCAAGCACAAACTATTTTCCCCCCATTTTTTTTACCTTCAACTTTTGTGGACTATTTTATTCCTATTTTTTTAAAAGAAAATAGAAAAAAAATAGTTCTATTTTTTCCTATTCTCGAGTACCAAACTATTTTTTCCCTATTTTTTCACCTTCATCTTTTTCAGACTATTTTTTGCCTATTTTCTCAAAAAAAATAGGACTATTTTTTCCCTATTTTTTCATCTTAATCTTTTTCAGACTATTTTTTCCCTATTTTTTCACCTTAATCTTTTTCAGACAATTTTTTCCCTATTTTTTCACCTTTATCTTTTTCAGACTTCTTTTTACCTATTTGCGAGTACTATTTTCTTCCTATTTTTTGCACTTAAATTTTTTATGACATGATACAAATTTGTAAACTATTTTTTGTCTATTTTCTAAACTTGCATATTTTCATTGTTTATGACTGGCATCCTATTCAAAAAGCCCGCTTCTCCTGCCATTATCTCTGTTGTTCATTTTGCGACTTATTGGTTGTTTTTAGCTGTGGGGTCACATATTGAATAGTGAGCTCAAAGATGACCATAAATAAACAATGTGTAAAAAGAAAATGTACGAAATTTCAATATTGTTCCTTTATTAATATTCTTGATTTTATTTACAAACTATAGTAGTGACTAGTGCACTCAAAGATAACCATACATAAACCATGTGTAAAAAGAAAATGTACACATAGAAATTTCAACCAAAAAAAATCTCCTTTATTAATAGAAAAAAAAGCATTCGATCGAGATATTCCCGTTCTATGTGTGCGCAAAGTTTCAACGTAGAGGACAGTACGCAAGTACGTAATTTGAAAATTACCCGTTATTTTTTTTCCCCACTGGCACTGCTGTGCGCATCGGACTTTTGCTGATTTTCGTTCATCAAACGTCTCCAAATCACACCAAAATGTCTTCCAGCAATTATTCTGGTGATGAAATTTCATCAAGAGATAGTGACTCCTCATACTCCGATGCCTCCTTATCCCATTTTAGTGATTCTTCCCAAGAAAATGAGCCCGACAAATGTTCAAAATATTACTAGTCCCACTCGTAGAGAAACGAGTTTGTTGTCGAATTACGGACCATCGACGAGCGGAACTGGCCCCAGAAAACAGCTGAAAAGGTACGTTTATTTCTGAAACTTAATTATATTATGATATATATATTTTTATTGTGTCTGTTGTTGAATATAATGCTACTTCATAGACATAATAGGCCTATAGAATGTTATTTTACGTATCAATATTCCCATGTACTAGTGTTGAGGTTGTAGACTACACAACTTCTTAGTGAAGTGTAGTGAATCTCCAAGTGCAGTGTAGTGTCTGTTAGTGAATGAGTGAATGTAAACAAACGTGATTACAATAAATCCACGTAAAAAAATTCAGATTTTGTACCATTACTACGTCTGTCAATTATTTTGCCTTGCATGATATAATGTTTTGATGTGGTTTTAGGCTAAATTGTATCTCAAATTATTTTTCTAGGAATCAGAAAACACAACCTGCTAAAGCACCACGCAAGAACTTAAGAAGAAGAGCAAGCCTTCCAAGTCCGAGAGTGTGTCTGCGAGGTATGTCCTTACTAAGTAGAAATCTAAATCTATTGTTGATAATTTTTTATGGTTTATTTATTTCATGTTTGTTAGTTAAGATCTGACATCAAAATATTAGAGTAGTTTACCTCATCATTATGCTAGAACAATAATTTGCAGGTGGCACAAGTTCTACCTAGATCTACATTATTTTTCTCTTTCCTTTTTATTTTTTTCTTCAACAAATTGTTCCTTTACTATTTTCTTTTCTGTGTTTTATGTTTTATTTTATGTATGTTCACCCAATATATCTAAGAATAAAATAACTTTTGTACACACATGTTCTGTGCCTTTGAATTTTTCATTATGAAATACATAAATACTTGTAATAAGTATTAATTGCATGTTCATAAATGTACCAATGCATGATTATTCTAACCCCTAACTCACATTTCATTTATATCTTTACAGATCAATTGAAACTAATCAAGCTACAATGTACATGTAACGTACAATCACCATTCGATGCCTGTGAACAGCATGACCAACATCTGTATCCTTTACATTAGTATTTGTTTCCATTTTATTATGTAATTCTTATGTCTAATCATTGAGATTCATAGGCAAGTACAACATGTATGTGTACACAATGAGTGCCTGCATATTGTGAAGATAAAGGACCGTAAGACCATTACTTATGATACATGGTAATGATGGTATACTTTGTAAAACTATTTGAAAATAGTAGCATGTAAGTCTGTCATTTTCTTGTTTATATATATCTCAATGACATGACATGTCATTGATTTTGTAGTAAGTGTTTCTAGATTATGATGATTGTATTAAGATTTTGACAGTTCAATTGAGATTGAGAAAATTATGTAACATGTCAACTGTACAATAGAGCATGCATGCATTGTTGAAAAATCTGTTTTATGATTTATTTTATTTTGTTATCTTTGTAAATAACGAGAATTTTTTTTTTACTTGTCATGATTTTCTTGAGGTTTGAAAATGTTATTACATTATTAAGAGCACTTTGCAATTAAATTGTAATAAAAGAGACAGAAAACAACACTCTCATGTCAAGAATACTGCTTTATTTGGTTACTAGTGAGGGAGAGAGCTTGTGATTGCCTGGCATATCCACATCGGCTCAGTAATAGTCCTGAAACTCACCTGAATACTTTATTTGAACAAAAATAGAAAGCTACATTCTAGGTGGATGATATTTTTTTAAGGCGGAGGCATATAGGAGACGCAGTCGCATTTGTCTTGTTTTTTTTTTTTTAGAGTATAATCGTAGCAAACCATGAACAACTCTATTACTACAACATGTACACTACAGTACTTAACCAAAGATTGTAAATATCAGTTAAGTTCTTTTATTTATTTGCTTACATGAACACACATACTATACTAAACTCATGTCATTGTGTTTACCTCTCGAAAATAAAGTACATGTATTTTATTTGACACGTTCCCTTTTATTCTTTTTGTTTGTTACAGTCCACTGCCATTATAACGAGGTGCTCGGGACCAAGCCAATTTCCTTGTTAAAATGAAATCATGTTATACTCAAGTTACTGAACACATTGGTTTGTTTAAAATTGGGACTGATGAGAATTGCCTGATAATAAAATCTTGGTGTATCCATGTTCGTTATAATAGGAGTGGACTGTATAACATTTTCCATATACCCATTGACTATTTTAAATGTTCTACTGAATGGATTGGACTGAAAGGATGAAGTGAATTTGGCAAACTGAGTAGGTGCATCGATGCAGAGAAAAGAGCTGTAGGAGTAGGGTGACTATTCTACAGTGGAAACTTTTGACAATGAGGTCATGTGCAACCAAGAAATCTTAACCCCCAAAAGCTGTTAAATTACCTTGTCATTTCAGGTATAACTGATCTCTTTATATCAAGTTTGCACTGTATGATTTAATTGAATGTACAGAGTCGTTGACTGGATGTGTGAGATGGTAGTGCTTGAGAAATCCATGAAAGTAAAGGATGAGTGACCCCCCCCCCCCCCCCTATTTCCTGACTATTTTTTTCTGATTTCCTCACTTATTGTCTATTTTTTTCCTATTTCCTTACTATTTTTTTCCTATTTTCTTACTATTTTTCCCTATTTTCTTATTATTTTTTTCCTATTTTCTTACTATTTTTTTCCTATTTCCTTACTATTTTTTTCCTATTTTCTTACTATTTCCCCTATTTTCTTACTATTTTTTTCCTATTTTCTTACTATTTTTTTCCTATTTTCTTACTACTTTTTTCCTATTTCCTTACTATTTTCCCCTATTTTCTTACTATTTTTTCCCTATTTTCTTACTATTTTTTTCCTATTTCCTCACTATTTTTTTTCCTATTTCCTCACTATTTTTCACTGTCCACTAGCACCTAGTTATCACTATTTTTTTACTATTTTCTTCACCATTTTCTACACTATTTTTTCCCTATTTTTTCCCTATTTTTAGGTCTGAAAAATAGGAAAAAAATAGGAAAAAAATAGAAAAAATTGTTTCAAACCTATTTTTTTCCTATTTCCAAAACTATTTTTTCCCTATTTTTTCCTTTAAAAAAAATAGGGAAAAAATAGAAAAAAAATATATTTTCGGGACTATTTTTTCCTTATTTTTCCCCTATTTTTTTCCTATTTTTTTACGACTGGGGTATGTACAGGTTCCTTTAACACACGTTTTAATTGGAAACTCTGCTCAAGGGAGACAAAAAATGCAGACAGGTGGTCTTTCTATACAGGTGGTCACTAAAGCAGGTTTGACTGTAGCATGAAGAAATATCAATGAGCAAGTAAGTAATGTTTGAAAAAATAAATATACATGCAAAAAATAATCAAACATAATCCGATTCAATCGGACTACATTAATTTACCCACCAGTGAGGGCAAGCAAATGGCTAGCTACAGCAGCAATGATGATAAGTGGCTCCTCTAATGGCTTTGGGGACACTATCTCTGCCCTCAATCTCCAATTTGTCCAATTTGTCAACACAAATAAATACCATTTTCAAAACTAAATAAAAACTCAAAATATCTTGAATACAAAGTTATCAAGCACGTTCAACCGAAGCGATTTGCCTACCAGTGACGGCAAGTGAATGGCACGATCCAGCAGCGATTCTGATGACGTTTTCTGGATTATCCAACGGCTTGGGGGATACCATCTCTGCCCTTGTTCCGTTACCCAGCTGCCCAAAGTTGTTTGCCCTATAAGAATGAAAAATAATGACATTTAAAAACTATATTTTTAAGTGTATATTGTGTTTGTTTGATAGTTCAGATCGCTCAGTGTTGTGGCATGTAGCATAACGTGAGCTTGTTAGAAGCCGTCTTTCATGCCTCAGTTTAAACCTAAGTACCATACATTGGTCTACATTGGTCTACATATAAATGATTGATGATGAATATGTAGTGAAGACTAATACCGGTACCACAAAATCAGTTTTTAGAATATATATGCAACCTGCTTTACTATATACAGTCAAACCTGCTTTAGCAACCACCTGTATAGAAAGACCACTGGTATATGAGGACCACATTTTTTGTTTCCTTTTAAATATGGTTTCTCAATTAAACCTGTATGTAAAGACCACCTGCCTATACAGACCACTTTATATGTGTCCCTTGAGTGGTCTTTATATACAGGTTTTACTGTAGCACTAAAAATGTCTTTTCAATAATCATTTTATGAGCAAGTGAGAGACTCAGTAACTTGCCATCCAAATGGGGAGGGAGTTGGAAGAATAATTCATAATCTTGAATTCACCTTAAAGGGATCCGGTAACTTTGTCTCAGATTTTGAAATAAAATTCTGGATTTAGCTCATGATGCAATGATAATTATAAACCTTTAGGTCAGTCAGGAACCCCATGACTTTTACAAGCCAATCGCCTGTCTGATTATCAAGATATTTATGATTGGAATTACAAATTTTGAAAACCGTTCGCCTGACGGTTTTCATAACACTACAGTCTATTGGGGAAAACGAGTATGGTAAACCCGGTCACTCAAAGATTTTTACTTTTTTGAGGCACTTCTTGATCATTTTGAAGCGCATTTTTTTTAGGGCTTCAATATTACACCATATCACAGACACTGATAACACGTAGGGCCGTGTATCTCAGATTTACCACTGTTAAACGATCCCTTTAAAATGTGCACTTTTCACTTTATCCTCTCTATCACAAACAAAAATTGATACCTTCAAAGCTAAGGTTCCTTGCCATTTTGACATTTCCTAAATTTTCCAAAATTAAACACAGAATATTCAATTTTGCAGGGTTTTAGCAAGGCTTTCCGTTTCCATGATTATCTTCTATCTTTATGAATCCCTTCATCTACCTACCCACATCCAGCCACCTGTCCCGACTCAAACAAAAACAGGGTGAACTTCTTCCCGCAGGAAACCTGGACCACCTTTCTGTGCATGATTGGTCGCAGAAAATGGGGTAAAACCTGTCAAAAGTTAGGGGAAAAACAGTTTGAAATGATTAAATGTATATTGGAACAAGTCCTTTCATATACAGTTACAATATAGACATCAAAATGATTAGGGTCATTTATACAAGATAGACCAGTTCGCAACTGTATTTAAATTTCGTCATATTGTTTCATCGATCTGTTTGGGGTTATTGTATGTCAGCAGTCACAAAGTATTTGGGATGCATACATTATCCAAGCTTTCGGGGTTATCACTAATAACTATTGTTATAATGGCATAGAGTTTGAAACATATCTGAAAAGGTCGTTTGTAAAATCCACCTTTATAAACACCAGCTCAAGTTCATGAATGCAAATCATTGTTCATTTTGTATGTACACAAATCAATGAATGTTTGAAACATATGGCCATTGATTTGCATAATGTTTGTCCTACCAGCAACAATTAATGTATGCAATACACTTTGATTATTGAAATACAATCCGTATCAAGGCACTTTTAGTGTAAATGTTGTTACATTGTAAAAATAGTCTATTAATCTTGATATTAAATTTGATTTATCGATCAACAGCAGATAGACAGATTCTCTATCAACTGGTCACACAAACTCAGTCTCTATAACTTTTAATTAAAGGAGCATGGTTAGACATCTTTTACTCTATCTCTCAAAATGACAGTTCATGCAATATTAATATTCATCATCATACTTTCATGCTTTTCTTTCATTTCAATAACAAAACAATATTTCATGTAATTAACAGATAAAAAGGTAATAAGTTTGTTAACATATGATTTATCGTCCTATATAATACTCCAATAATAAATCAGTTACTAATGACCCACAGGAATGAACTTGTACATGTAAAAAATTGATACACAAAAAATATATCTTGATGATAATAGTAGGTGTAGTTCATGCCATTTGATGTATATACATGGGGGTGGGGTGCAAGGGCGGGCTTTATGATTTATATAAAAGTGCATAAAACTTTATTCAGTACGAATGGTTTCTGTAAAGAAGCAATGCATTGACATGCTGTTAGAAGGGCATTAGCATGAGAACTCCAATTTTTTTTTAAATACACTAATTTATATACCATTTCAAGGCCCTTCTGGCAGGCACATAATGATATGCAAAAACCGACATGTAGGGTGTCAGTTTACGACAAGGGAATGACATTCCATTAAAGGTAAAGACCAGTATTGGAAACGCCCCAATTTCAAAAAATGAAATGGAAGCTCTCATTACCAATCATGTGAAAGAATATGTTTTGACTAATACATGATGATAAAAAATTTGCCGGGAAACCGCCTAATAATTCATATATTTGGTAAATTTGTTTCTCTCATGGTCTGTGAGAGATATAGGGTAGTCCCATATACATCTTTCTGTGTACAGTGCTTGTAACTTTACGAAGAATGGGCCAAATTTCTTATCATTTTGACGATTCCAGAACCTTGCAGATGCTAGATGCTAGATGATCAACCTTTTCTGATCGATTCCACAACGTTTCTTTCACAATGCAATTGCATGACCATAACTGGCCTTTACCTTTAAGGGATAACAAATTATTTTGTTGCAGTCATGGTAAAAACAATAAATATGAAAAAATGTCAATATAATGCTACGTATATTTACAAAGTATCATAGATAAAGTCTTTCAAAATATAAAAGGGGCCTGAAAAAAGGAGAAGTAAGAACTGTCCAAAAAGAAAGAAAATAGTTTTCAAACCATTTTCAAGAGGATTAAGAATCATATCTTCTTTAACCATGTGACTGAACTTGGGATGATGTTGAAAATACATACTGGACTACTGGTATTCTAAGAAGATGAGAAGTAAATTATTTCCAATTGGCAAATTTTTGCAGAGATCTTCTTTTTTTTTTAAATCAATTTTATTCTTCCTTCTGTTTTTCACCTTTTCTCTTCAGAAAAGGAACAAAAGGGTATAGAGGAATGCAAATTAGGCTCTTCTCATATAAATTCTTGTTTTCTTCAAAGGATAACATTATCATGAGACATAATTTGGAGTGTCCGGGGGATATGGGAAAAGGTTGTATCATCTTCTTTTTAAGTCATCTTTGCCCCTCTCCCTTTCTTTATCTTCTCTCTTTTCCTTAGTTTTAATCATCTGTTGTCTTTCATTTGGAGGGCACATGCCCTAACCAGAAGCCACGCCACTGTTATTTTACATCTTTATCCAGTTAATACAATACGTGCAGATGCACACTTTATAATGATAACCCTACCAATACCTCGGACCAAACTTCTATGTGTATGTCAAATTATACACATACCACACCGTGTAAAATACCCCACCACAAATACCACACACCTGTATGAGATGGGAGATAGAAAGTGAAGATCAATGAAATATGAAAATGCAATGATTTACAAAAGAAAATGGACAAGAAAATGTTAATTTAGTATTTCCACATATATCCTACACATTACACTGTACTACTACAGCAAACTTATAAGTCACTCATTTCCCAAATTATTTTATGATATGGAAGTGCAAAGGAAAAATCCATTTGATAATGCTCTTTAATATTCTTGAATATTTCTCCTATGGGTTTACGTCCAGTGTAAACAATTCTTGTATCTTTATAACGTATATATGTATATTAAAAATAGAAAATTTAAGAAAGTGTTTAAAAAATACATCATGTCACCAGCTAGGTAATGGACGATACGGGGGAGGGGGGGGGGCTGACCTTTGGGAGGAGAGTCAACAGACTCTCAGTTTACAATAAAATTCTCTCTTAATTCTTTACTTTGGATTCACTATTGTTAATTTCGTATTTTCTGTACATTATAACAATTTATGTTTGATTTTCTTTTCGTCTTCTTAATCTTTATAGGCAGTCACTCATGCCAATAATGTTTTCTTTTCTTTTGATTTGATTTGTGTATTTTGCATATGTTTCTTTTCTGCTATTTTTGTTAGTAATATAATTTGTATACTTTTATTCAGTTCACACAGACTTTCCGAAAAACAGCTGTTAGGGCTGAGAGAGTTACCATGTTTAAATAAATGAATGGAGACAAAAATGATGAAAATGCAAAATGCATTAACTAGCTACAATGTAATATATATGTACTTTGCTAAAATTGTTTGCAAAATAAAAACAAAAATCATAAGGTGATTCATGCAGCGCAGGTGTCTCTTTTAGCATGCCATGCAGATATTTTGACAAGCAAAATGGGGTAAAAAAACAAAATGTATTCAGTATTTTGCATCAGTCTCCATTGGTATGACTGAGGTATTAATATTACAACCCATTAGGTTAGCATTCCCTGCCATTTAATGTGCTGCCATGGTTTTGGGATGGTATGCAGGGCCCTGTTTCACACAACTTGTTATCATTAACAAATGCTAAATTTCTATGACAAAGTTGCTCTCAGCCAATCAAATGCTACGATTTCAGTAGCTTATAACAGCTTTTGGAACTTGTGATTGATAGGAAGCTTTAATGAAACAGGGTCCTGCTCATTAAAAGTGCTCTCTTTGTGGTCAATGGGTGGAGGTTGGGTGTGGCTATATAGGGTGTGGCATTTTGGTATATGATAATGGGGGTATGGGTGGGGTGGGGTGGTACCTCTACAGGACCTTCCTTTCCAGAGAGTTCATCTTTTAGATGCTGTTTCATGATCTGTTCGGTGAGTAAAGACTATAAACGTTAGATATTAAACCTGGAGGCAAAAGAATTATATATCACAACTACATATATTGAGATTTTCATGGTCGCAGCTACCATTTCACGGCCGTAGGCGCTATTTGAAATTTATCAAAATTTACCGGGAGCACTGGTAAATTTTTATATTCAATTTTTCTCAAAAGCAGAAGTGTTTTAGGGGCTAAATTTTCTAGTGCTTATAATTCATCCACAGGGGCATCCAAATATATCAAAATTGTCAAGAATCGCTATCCACCCAATTTTCAAAATTTCCCCAAACTTCGTATTATCTTTAACTAAAGATAAATACCTTTAATCTGAACCAAAAGGCAAATGAAACATTCCTTTCCATGTCTCTTTCATTTCATATCACCGATCTTATACAATGTTTTCCCGATACCTTGGGCATAAAAAATGAGTCTCTTAAAAGACCTACCCCGCCCCTAATGAAAATGAATGTGAAGGGGTATGGTAAAGAAAAATATTCTGCTACATTATTAGAACCAATAATATAAACCTAGGTGAGGATGAATAACTACATCTATAATACCGGCAATACTAAAAATAACAACAACAATTGAATTGTTTACCCAGGGTAAAATCATTACATACATTTATAAAGCTGTTTTATTTCGATTTTAGTTCTTTCTGGAAAACAAATGTTAATGACAAAAAGCTAGTTTCTGTATACAGCCTCTTTCCAAGTGCATGTTGTGTTCAATCAGATTTAATTTGTTTAATTAACTGCTAATCAGCAGCTTTATCAGTGATCAGGCTTGTCGAGGTAAGTGCATCTTTAGCAAACACTTGAGTCAAGAACAAACACAATACATAAGTGGTAGGAGATAGAGATGAGGATACATGTAGATTAAGTAGATGAGTTCACAAATTAGGTGACACGACATTTGCTCCTGCGACAATTGCTCCGGGCTTTATTTCGTCTAAGATGTAGGGTTAGGGTTAGGGTTAGGGTTTCAATAGGGTTTTATGTTAGGTTTAGGGTTAGGTTTAGGGTAGGGTATAGTGTTGAATCCAGGGTTGAAGTTAGCCATTCGATTAGTGTATGAAATTTACAGCGGAGCAATTGTTGCCGGAGCAAATGTCATGGAATCCACAAATTATGCATTCAGATTGCTAGATCCTTTACAAATGCCGACGAATTTCACTCATTAAGCAGGTAACATATTAAGGTATTTTTATTTCCAACCTCCCCCCCCCCCCCCCCCCCAAAAAAAAAAAAAAATTATTACAATTATTTTTGTTATTATAATAATCATAATAATGAAAATAATAATAATAATAATAATAAATAAATAAAAATGAATATAAGAAAATGAAAATAGTTTTTACAAGTATAGTGAAGAAGCATCAGAGATTTGTAAACAATAATTAGAAGGGACTGAATAGATAACAGCACACTAAATATCTGCATAAACTGAAAATAAACAAAAATACAGGGCACATCAAAAGAACTCGATATATTTCTCAATGCTTGTGTTAAAGTATAGTTCTACATTTCAAAATAATAACGAAGAAATGCATGGAGAGAATGAAAGTGCTCAGTTAACATGTTGGGATGAAATAGAGAAAATTATGTGAAATTTTTGAGCTCTCAATGAATCCCTCTTCATCCTCTCAAAAAACAAGATGTATTTCATATCTGAATGGTAAACTTTGTACTAAACTGAATCATTCAATAGCTAATGTAATAAATTGCACGATTTTATTTGAAGTGTTGACTTAACAATAATTTTGAGAATTTTGAGCTCTCAATAAATCCCGCTTCATCCTCCAAATTTGAGTTTTCACTGCACTGAATCATTCACTTGCTAATAGAATAAATCACACGTTTTGAAGTGTTGCCTTACGGATCTTATCTTGTTCAATAACACTTGTCTGATAAGGAGTATAATGGGCCTATTGATATCATATTCTGATAACTGTATCATATCATATGTCAGGAGGGAGTTAAAGACCAATCCTGCTTTAATTTATGGGCTCAAAGGTAAATTTTTGGTATGAAAAATAAGGCGGTAATTGGTGCAAAATAAACTTAATATGGGGTCATACGTGTATAAGGTGAACAAAATAGCATTAAGGCTAATTACAGTGATTTATAGTTTCAAAGGTCTAACTTTATATTTTTGTGTATTTGTTTTCTCCTTTGTTTTATCGCTATTTGATGCAAGTTGCAGTTCTACTTGATCAGATTGGAGTTTTTAATGTCTTTTGGTTTCAAGAGATGTAATTATTCAGAAAACTATTTCATTTCATAAATTGGTTACACAGATAATGTCATACAAAACTATAGTATATGCTTTATGGAACCTCCTTCTGTAATATCAGAAAATAAATCTCTTAAAATTCAAACATCAAATACTAATCATATTTGTACATTTGAATCAAAAATAATTTTTCTGATTAAAAAATTTATTAAAACTATTCATTTTTTAGCTTGATTTTTGTTGCCCCTACCATCTAATAACTGACTGGTGCAATTATCTTAGCAGGTCGAAGCAATACATCCTATGGGTTAAGGGAGGACGGATGAAAAAAGCACCCCCCACAAAAACTTTTTTTTTTTTTTTTTTTTTTTCCTTCTTTTTTTTGTTTCTTCTTCTTTTTTAAAATAAATTTGTGTGTGTGTGTGTGTGTGCTTGTTAGACAATGTGGGAGTGGAACGGCTACTCCAAGGTGCTTGGGACCACCTATCCCCCCTACCAAAAAAAGAAAAGAAAAGAAAAATGGTATACGGCGCAGGTCTTGCCCGGCACTCTTCATGATTAAACTTTGAGAGCCTTTTAAGCAAAGTGATGCCCTATTACACCAAAACAGAAACCATGCCTACATTCTAAAAGCCTTAACAAAGAGCAACACACACACTATCCATACACCTACCTGGTTCTCTTTATAGTTCTTGACGCGGAAGTCGTACCCCAGCTGGACGTAGAAGTTGTTCCCGCAGCTGTAGGCGCGGCCATTCTCCAACCAGACCACGGTGTGCCGGCTACCGCAGGCCACCCCCGCCACCTGAGAGTCATGAGGGCCAAGCCGCAACCTCTGAGGGCTAGTGTGGGTTGCTTTGTCTCCACATCCAAGCCTGACAAATAAATTCACCAAAATTAAAATCACACATTTCATTTCATTTCATTTCTTTATTATGTCCATAGAGGATAATTGTTCATATTTACATTTACAATCTTGCTCCACAGTGATTTCACAGGAACAACATATAATTGACAATCATAAGTACATATATATCAAAGAATATCACAAAATCATTAATCCAAGATTTATAAAAGTTCATTGTTCAAATATCAACAGTGCAAAAAGTATCAATTGTTTCATTTTGTAAGTTAATTTTACTCAACAAAAAAACTTACGGAAAGATGCAGAAAATATATGACGTAATGCAAGGTAATTCTTAAATAAACTGATTAAAATCCACCTTAAAAGGGTGATTTATTTTTAATGCATAAAAATGATTGTTGATTTACCTAGATATTAGCTCTTACAATAGAATCATATGTTTAAGGGGAAGGCCATCCTGATATTACCAGTAAGTTGGTTTTGATAGAAGCATAATAATGAGAGTAACAGGTGAGTGAAAGTTTGAGCAAAAACCATTTACAAGAAAGTTATTATACTTATGTATGATTGCAAATTTTCTTAGGAGAAAAGTTTTTGAAATTTTTAGTAGAGGACAAGTGGGAGGGATCCTCAAAATTTACATCACAGAGTTGCCATTTTGTGTTTGATTGATCACACCTTCGAAATTCATAAATTTCTTATTTTTTATCGAATTTTGCTTTAATCTTCACTGACCTGTATCTCTCATTTTTCTGCTTCTATTAAAACCAATAGAATATCAGGGTGGACTTCCCTTTATTCCTGTATATTCATGTTCTGATACTCTATATCCTTCATACTGTGAAGAATTAAATTGCTATCTTGTCATTGGTCTTATATACTTACTGTCCACTGTTGCCATTTCCCCAAGTCAGGACCTCATCCTGGCCTACAAGAGAAGAACATGAACAAGATGTGATATACGGCGTGGTGACAGTGAAGATGAAAAATAAGCAACCGGTTTGAATTGATGCAGGGCATTTCCTTGAACTTTAATGTATTAGCAGAATTTAAACCTAAGCAGAAGTTGAGTGTATCATACTTGGCCAGTAGCTGTCTAAATAATAATTTGAAGAATCAGAAACGAAATAGTCACACAATACAAAAGCGAAGGTCTAAACTAAATAGGCGCAAGCACCTTAAAAATGAGATGCTTCACCTGGCATGACATGATATTTTTTCATATTATTCCACAAGACTTTAGGAGAAATTTGTGATCTATGAGAAGGTAAATGCATTTTAGTAATGGCAAATATCTTGAGTCCTGTTATAGGAAACCTTGATTGTAAAATGTCAATATCAAATCATATAAAGGTAAGTATAGAAATAATCGTTCCCTGAGCTGAAGGAGACATACATGTACTTGTACACAAGTATTCTGAAACACAAAAAGCCTGTCTTCATTTGCTTGAGATTGCTAAATATCCTGCTAATTGAACTATCCCGATCACAAATTATCCAATTGATTTGCGTCTTCATCAGCCCGGAGTTGCAATTAGCGGGATATTTGGTCAAGATAATCATCACAAGATATCTTGGGCTAGTTTGCAAAATATCCTGCTATTTTTCCAGTGCGTCTTCACCAGCCCGAAGACTCGCATTAAGTGAAAGCTGAGCAAAATATCTCGAGCTAATTTCTCGAGCTTGAGTTTCAAGTTCTGAGGTCAAGTCTCGAGCTGATGAAGACGCGATTTGTAACTTCAGGATTAATTATTTCCCAAATCTGAAATAGCGGGCTATTTGGTAATCTCGAGCTGATGAGGACAGGCCTAAAGAAAAGAGCTCCCTGACACCCTACCTGTGACAACAGCTGTATGGCTTGACCCGCATGAGATATGTTTGACGCGATGCGATCTGACAAGAGAATCCCCGTGATCCACGAGGGCTCCCTCCGAACTCACGTTCTCTCCAGATCCACCATGGCCATGCTGACCGAACTCGCCGCAACCCCACGACAGCAGCAGGCCCCGATCCTGATCCAGGTCAGTAACCTTTGACATAGAGGTCAGGTCGTCCATGTCATCCATGTCATCGAGTTGGGGCATGAACTCTACTTCTTCCACTCTGCAATGTGAGTTCATATAAGATATGGATAACTGTTTATGTTCTCCTTACCGGTATTCAATTTCAAAAACTGAATACAAATTTAAAAGTTTCAAACCATTCGTTCAGCATATACCTGTCTCGGTAATAATCCATAATCTCCTATACATGTAAAATGAAATCCTAGACTGGCACATTGTCTTGAAGTATGTGTATATATTGTACATACATTGTGACAAAGGTTGAAGTTGGCAATCCATTGTTTGTTCCATTAGTTGACCAAAGCCGACAAAGAGTTTGTATATGAAGCCTCAGAAAACTCACACTGCAATACCGGTATATAGAAAATGCAACTGTACATTTTTTTACCAATATCACATCGTGCCTGACGCATCAAATATGGGGTGTCTAGAGTTTCCTGAAAACACCACCACGACATACATACTGCTCTTATGTTCCCCCAAGGTAATATCTTTTGCTGGAAATGGCAAAATAGCTCACACTATAATATGCAGACTTGAATAAAAAATTCCCAGACAGGTGGAGCCTTCAACAAAATTTCCATGAATAATGTTGCTCATGATGTCATGACTACCAAAATTGAATGAAGAACAATTTCAAGACCTTTGAAAAAATACTGAACAATCTTGAGCCCCTACGTCAATATGCTATTGCTATATGATCTACTTTCAATTGGCAGGTGATTGCGATTTATTAGAATGTAAATTGACACCTGCCCATGTTTTTCAACAAAAAAAATACACAAGCAATGTTCTTATTTAATATCTTGATTCATATGCTGCTTGTGATTAAGGAAATTGCTTTGAAAAATAAGCAATCAATAAAAATATACATGTGTCATGTAGGCCTAAATTCAATAAAGTGGCAAAGAGTCTAAAATGCTGCAGTAACAATGACCGTATACACTTGTATAATATATATGTTATCAATATCAGATGAGAATCATTTTATCTAACTATATAGTCATCACAGCACTGGTAGTACATGGATTATTAATGTCCAGCTTCTGATCCCCAAGAAAAAAAAGATTAGTTCCCACGACCATATAGCTAATTGTTCGTATTAAACAGTTGTGATTGATTCAAATCTGTAGATCACAACTTGATATCGATCACAACTCTGTAGTGAAAGGCAATCAAGTTTGTAAGAATTGATTGAGATCTCGTTATTAATCTAGATCAATCAACTGGTTTACCAACATATTAAAATTTATGGATGTGTCTTTTCTGGGGATCTAGTGACAAGTTATTCCATTAACCTGAAGCCTTGGTCACAAATGCCATTACGAACTGCTACGAACACCGTACAAACGATTTTCAGGCAATGGAAATTCGGGAAGACAATGGAAAAACAGGGACATTCGTACAAAATAATCGTTTGTACGAACCTTTGTGACCGTAGCTTATTATCAATAAATGAACTACAATACTTGGAATCCAGTCTGCATACATTACATGTTGCTATGTCAGGCAAGCATTGGGAAAGCTTTCAGGTTTTCAAGAACAAGCTTTCTTTACGAAGTATGCATAAAACTTGATATACTGTATGTAAGTAAACCGGTTTATTGCAACACTGTATAAGACAAGGCTCAGTGCATTTAGCAATAATACTTTTATGAGGACATTAGACTTAGAGTTGTGTCTTTGCAACTGTCTCCCAATTTCAAAGGCCAAAATCAAACATAAAAATAGAAAATCTTGATGCTACAATGTGATTGTAGCTAGTACATTGGCAATTATAAAGATAAGTCCAATTGCATAGAACAGTTGTATTGCAAAAACAAAGAAATAATTCCATACCTTATGTGATAATATTCTCCCAAACGCTTTAAGACTTTATTATTAGACGAAGAGAAGCAATAAGCACTGCCATTATTCAAAACAATGACTACATCCATACATACTCAAAGTCCACAGTATGTGTTATATAGTGGCAGTATAATGGCCTACTGTATAATAGGGAGCCTTGATTAACAAACAAATGTTTTCTATAGAAGTGTTTGCTGAACAAATATATCTGTTACACCATGGATTGCCCATTTGCGATATATTACGTAACCCATTTAACACCTCGCAGACAAAGATCAGACTTCAGCTAGACTTCAAGGAGTCAGGGCTTTGATTTGACTAATAAAACAGTACATAATCATAATTGCTGTTTCAATGAATCAATGAATTTCCTGGAATCTTTATCACATAGTTGAATGGTAGGTCTTCCACTCTAATAGTATCAATTCATCCCATGTGAAATAGTACCTATTCTTTCCAGTGAAAAAAATACACAGAGGCTCTGGGCGAATTAGCCCCCGAAAATCAAAAAAGAGCCCCTGTAAATTTGCATAGAGTTCAATGCAAAACAAGTTTTAGAGTGTTAATTTCATGCAGGCAAGCTTGAAAAGTAGCCCCCGAAAAATAAATATTAATTTTCCACCTGATTCTTTCTAAAATGTCATTTTCAATCTACCCGTCGTGTAATACCAGTATGTAGAAAGTACTCTGCTGATGTGCTGCAGCAAAATGTGGGTCCTCATATTAACTAAAAGGTCAATAAATCCATTTTAAGCTCAATATTCCTTGCCTCAAGATGCCAGTCTAGTTTTCATTTGGCACTTGCAGTACAAGTCGCTTTTGTATTTTACTTCTTAAACGATGTGGTACTGTTCCCATGGTAACGGCCCAGTAAACATGTGTGTCTACATGCCTACTGGTGCTCAGAGAGGCATGGAAATCACTGAAATATTAATGTGAAACACTTGAAGGCTCCACTGGTCTGATCAATTAATTATCCTTTTAACTTCTTCTTGTATTTCATCATGGTTTATATCTTCTTTTATCCCCAGGGTTGAGATAGGTGTGTGACCTTGTTACGTGAACCTTGTTCCAGTGGGTAAATATATAGGTGAGAGCCAGAAGGATATAGGCCTGTTTACATCAGCCCGAGTTAACCAAATAGCCACTATTTCTGATCCGGGAAATTAGCCAGGTCACAAAATAGCGGCTATTTGGCAGGTGAAGACGCAAATAGGAGGCTATTTTCTCGGGAAATCTTCCCAAGATATCTTGGGCTAGTTTGCAACAAAGCGGCTATTTGAGGTCCGTCTTCACCAGCCCGAAGACTCACACTATGCGTGAACACTGAGCAAATTTCTTGAGCTCAAGTTTAAAGCTGATGAAGAGTCGATTTGTAACTTCGGGCTAATTTCCTGCATCACAAAATAGTGGGCTATTTGGTCAACTCGGACTGATAAAGACAAACCTTATATGTAAAAGCTGTTTACCGTAAATTTCTGTGTATAAGGCGCACTTTTTTGCTGCCGAAAAAAATTGAAAGTCGGGGGTGTGTCTTATACACAGGTTTTTTTTTTTTTCTTCAATTTTCAATTTATTGCGCTATGCCTGGCAATGTCTCCCAGCTCAGTAATCAGTGTGTTGACTCACCACTCGGAAACTACAACAACACTCAAATTTGTCTGTCATCTTGGTTTGAAAGTAATATGTCTAATAGATCTCAATATGTAGTTTATAATAATAATTCCTCAAATTTTATTTCTTTAACAAATGGTGTACCACAAGGTTCTATCCTAGGTACTCTATTGTTTTTAATTTACATTAATGATCTAACACATTCTTCTAAAAAAGACATTGTTACTATTATTTGTGAGAAGTTCACAAGCACAAATCAGGGCCTTCAACTGCACCTCGATGTTAAATGAAGGTCCTTCCCCGCATGGGTTTTCGGCAACAAAACAACAACAAAATAGGGGTGTGCCTTATACACAGGTGCGCCTTATACACAGATATTTACGGTATGGACCTTCTTTCTTAATGTAAAACACTAGAACACTGCATGAAACACAACTTTATATCAATGGAAAGCTGAATGAATGTAGAATACAAATATAAAGGAATTCAAAATAATTACCCTTTCAGTATTGCAAAAAAGCACATTAAAAAATTTCATTCTCTGCACTCTTCCAAATGACTGGTCAACAGGGGTCAAATTAACATAACATGTGGACCTGATCGGCTCACCTATATAGCTGAGGGGATTAGCCATGCTTATTTAATGCAAGGTAATTGTGAATATGAGTACATGTACTCCACATAAGATGATGTCATCAAGTCGATAGCTAGTTTTTAGGTCGACAACCTTCCGATTGTCAAAACCTAACCTAGAACCCAACTCTAATCCTTATCCTAAACCTAACCTAAAACCTAGTTGCAAACCTAACCAACATAATTATACCCTAGATGAAATAAATCCCGGAGCAATTGTCGCCAAAGCATATACCTTAAAACCAATCAATTTTATTCATTTACCCCAGGTAAATATGTTTCTTTTAATTCAGATGTGTTGGACATTATGATACATACCTGTGCTGTGACAACAATCTTTCTTCATATTGTGCTTTGCTTTGGTTCAGGGGGTGTTGCAGTCTTTATTTGTTTGATTTGGTTAACCTGTGAAACAAAATGAAATGATAGAAGAAAATTAATTGTAATAAAATTATGATTATAAACGACCTACTGTAATACACCAGTTTCAGCATGAGAAAGCAGTTACGGTACTAAAAGGAAAAGGTATGTTCCATTATTTATCTTGTTATTTCATTTTATTTCAGTATTTCCAATTATTTACAAATATAACTTCACATGATGAAACATCTAAACCAGTAAAACAGATGTATAAGTTATAAACAGTAAAACAGATGATATCTGTAGGCCAGACTAATTCCTATATTATACACAATAGAGTTTCAAAATAGTTTGATTTGTGTTTGTGTAAATGGGTAATAATCTGGATTCGACTTCAACTAAAGTCCAATTTTTGATGAGGAAAATCATATAAACCATGTGAAGACCAATTAAGATTAAAGTTAGAACATTATAGAGGCTCAATTACTGAAATTGATACTCAAATTTGACAACATCATGAACATGTACCGATCATATGAAAATAAACTTTATTTCCAATTTTGAAAGGTTATTCACTTTCAAATGTGTAAGGGTAGATTTACTGTAGGCTTACCTCCTTCATAAGGTATTGAACGGTTTCATCTTGACTGACAAACACAAACGTTAAGTAGATTAACGGTTTATTAAAATAGCCTCTGTATATGCCTACGGCCTAATACTAGCCCTACATGTTTGCGCGCACACGACAGCCCGACTTCACCGCAACCAGGTAATCCTCGCACGGGGAGTGGGCGGGGGACAACATAACAATGAAGGCCACCTTACAGCCCCTTACAGCCTACCACCACATCACAATTGGCGGTTGAAAAACACTTACCAATAATAAAGTTTGTCTCTTTTCGATGAATGGAATTGTATCATACACTTGTCAGATTTCACCAGACATATGGCATGTCACTGTCCGGTCCTTAGTCACAAGACGTTTCGACGAAGAAGTCTGCTAAAAACTTGTCGCACATTGCTCCACCAATCTGCCGTCTGACAACTTCGCTGATTTTAAAAGCGTTCGTGGTTACCAAAGATTTGATTGGCCCCACCTGCATGTACCCAATACCCCTCGCTGTACCCCCATTCGGAGGAACGTGAGATGCACAGGTGCCGAAGCGCGGGTACATGTATTTTGGGAAGGATGATAAAATAGCCCGGTCGTCTGGTAAAACGGTCATGACCTTGAAAATTCGTTTGTGGGAATGTTGAGTTCAAAGATGCCTTTGTATGTAAATATTTAGCGCAAAGCGGAAATATGAAAACTGTGCATTACAATTTGAAACAAGATACTGAAAGTCAGAGAAAAACAAAAAACAATCAGATAACCAAAAAAGCGTGGGTAAAGGAAAAGGTTTATGTACGTGTTTATTTTATTTTTTTTTTTTGTGGGGAGGGGTGTAGCAGAATTGCGGTAAAATACAGACGAAAAACCGAGACACAAACTACACCAGTGGCGAATCTCGGGGCCCGAGGGGGGGGGGGGGTTCTCCCCTGATGGCCAAAAATCAGGTAAATTTGACCTTTTTGAAAAAAGAAAAAAAAAAGAAGACTAGGCCCCCTACCCTGGCGCAAGGGGAGGGGCGGGTGTTGATTCGCCGCTAAACATTTTCTCCCGAATTGGGTCCCCTATTTGGTCCCTTCCCTTCCCGCAGGCTGGATCCGCACCTGAACTACACTGCATGCAAAACGACAGAGAGGGGATGCAGAGAGCGATGAATTAATGTATGTGGGCGGCCTTCAGTAATAAATGAAAGGAAAAAATGATTCAATTCGATTAGCAAAATAAGCTAATGTGTTTTAGGTAATTATGGTCAAAGGATCATCCAGGGGCAGGCACGTTGCCACGGGGGGCACGGGGGGGGGGGGGGGAATGTGCCCCCGTAATGTTACACTGGCAGGTCTTCTTCCATTGGGTAGGCCTACATCCCTCTTTGTAGTATTGTCGTATATGGGGTGTGCAGGTGGACCACTATTCTTTCTTTTTTTCTTCTCATTGAAGATATTATGTCCTTTTTGCAGCCAACCTCAAATTCTGTAGAACTTTGCAGGAATTATGAATATGTCATATATGCCTTATCTGTGAAATGTAAACGTTATAGCAGTGTCCTTATATTCAAATTATGCAAAGAAACCCGTTTACTTGCTAAACTTCACTGTCACTGATGTCAGACACTATTGTCAGTATTGAGTGACTGACTGGCTTTTTTTCTTCTTCGGTAATAACATAAATAAAATGAGCTGTAAAAGATTTGTCTACATCAATAACCCACTTCTTGTAATAGCAAAAATTAAACTAATTGAATTTTTGTGCAGCATAAAACGTACGACCATGCGGTACAATGGTCTGAAAATCAAGACTATTACTTATTGGCTCTATAGCTCCTAAGTCGATTTGACAACTAAAAGTCGTTATTTTCCAACTTAAAGACATTTTCAAGCCCCCCCCCCCCTTTTTTTTTTTAAGGGGAGTTCTAAATTAGTATTATCTTTCAAATGCCATTGGAATTTAACCTTTTCATTTTTTGGGCCTGCAAAAGGGAAATAGTACCTTTAACGAACTTTTTTCAAAAAAGTGAGGGGGGCTCGAGCCCCCGAGCCCCGCAGTTCTGCAGGACCTGACATGAAGTCTTCTAAATAAACATATTTTTTGCCTGCCTGTAAATTTGGGAATTTATAATTTTCCACTAACGCATAAAAAAGGATAATTTACACACAAAAATGAGAAAAATATCCCCGAAAATCATGTCATTTAGCAACATTTGTAAATCACTGGAGTGGAGGTATCGATTTAGAAATAAACCAGGTATTTATTTGAAGGGGGCAACTGCCCCCTAAGCCCTGCCCCCAATCTGTACGCAAGTGTTCAGGGGCTCATGTCTTACCACCATAATAAAATTAAAAAAACACGCTTTCCCATCCACTCACAATATTTCCACGATATGCGCGTATTGCTATTATCAAATCCTCCATTGATAAAATATGGGGGCATGCGGAATGTTCAGGAAATTTAATCCTGTTTATTTTCCTTTTCTTTGATGGAATATAATTTTTGTTGTGATTCAATTCAGGTTTAATAATTTTTTTTTTTTTTTTTTTTTTTTGGGGGGGGGGTTATAAAATACAAACCATTTTTACTCCTTTACTGCTGTTTTTTCAGGGGGCCTTTTTTGTTGGGGGTGAAAATGCGTTTCCCCCCCCCCCCCACTTTTTCGTTTAAGGGGCGACCGCCCCCTATCCCCCCACTCCCGTCGCCCCTGCCTGCATATGTATCGACTAGAAGAAGGCTCTAATGAGACCCTCGAGTTAGAGTACCCCCCCCCCCCACCCCCTCAAAAATCTTCGCTCACTGCTTCGCCGGGACATAAGGCAATATTCTGTGTCACCTAGTAGCCAGAGAGTGGCCTCATCATGACACAGAAAAATGCCTGTTTGGGTTGGCCGTATAGGTTCATTCTTATTGCGGTCCTTTGATTATATCTGCGAAATAGACGTGAATATTCAGCAGATGAACAATACCAAGTTTCTGTGGATTTTAAAACACTCCTCAAAACGAGTGTAAAAATGTTAAAGGTAAATATTTCAGAAGTATACATCTCAGAGGTGAAAGTGCTATAGATGAAAGGAAGAACTGTACCCGTCCATTCCGATATACAATTATGTTTCCATTTTCTTTCACGATTCCTGTTCTTAGAAGAAATTAGAATATATATTTTCATCTTAAAGGTAATACATAGTTTGGTATGGGGTCACGAATTTGGTTCAAATGAATTGGAAGCATATGCGATCCTACAATATTCAGTGATCGTTGTCGCGGTTGAAATCGAGTCTAAAGATATGAAGTTGTAAATAATAAACTCTTTATGTTGTATAGCTTCCTCTTAATGTCAACATATTAATTAAGCTATAAAACAATGTTTCTTGACTTAAATCGACCGTTTAGCTATTCCCGTTTGGAATTTATATATCATAACTACATATTCTGAGATTTTCATGTTCGCAGCTACCATTGCACGGCCGTAGGCGCTTCAAGTTTTCTCGAAAGCAGAAGTCTTTTAGGGGGTAAATTTTCTAGTGCTTATAATACATCCACAGGGGCATCCAAATATATCAAAATTGTAATGAATCACTATCCACCCAATTTTAAAAATTTCCCATAATTTTTATTACCTTTAATTTCATTGTAAATTACTAATCTGAACAAATCAAGTGTTCCAATATTTTCGAGGTTAGTGAGCAAGGTTGACACATTTTAAAATCAATATTATGGTTAATGTTTGTTAAGTATGCAAAGGAGTTTCCGTCAAATAGAATAATGAAATTCATATTTGTTATCATCGGTTGCCATCTAAAATCTAAGTTTAATCAATACTAGTGATGTTATTGATGAGTGCTTCATCCAATCCAATTAAAACTGATGATTTAGAGTTCTCCCTTCCTTTTGGCATTTTGTACCTCTGACATTTGTACTTCTTACATTAAATTTTCTTGAAATCCCCCCCCCCCTTCCACAGGGCTCTACATTTTCAAAACAAATTACATCTTATTATACAGTTTATCCATACATTAGGCCTATATATAATTTAAGAAATAATTGCCAAACACGATGGCTTAACACAAATAATAATCATCAGTTCATCACGACCGAAAACTTTGTGGCAGATAAAAACAAACATTTATGACAAAATATAAGAAAATACCAAACATAAAATACATGATCATGTTTGCGTTGGCACATTTCGAACACTCTCAAAATATTTTCTAAAGTGAAACTATTTCTTTTTAAAATTTATTCTCTCTGGGATTCGTTTGCAGGGGCGGATCTAGCTTTTTGCTAAGGGGGGGTTGACCAAAATAATGACGATGCGGAGCATCGTCCACGAGCCGCGAAGCGGCGAGCCGATTTTTTTTGGGGTGTTTATTTGAACCCCGTAAGTGATGTTTTCCTGGCATCTATTAACACAATGGAGACCATAAAAAGCAGTGCATGATAACGTCTTTTTAAATCAAGTAACAGTTAAATACACAGTTATATCCAGAGTTATCATGTGTTTGGTTAAGTTACCTGATGAGTTGAATATCTTCTCACAATATTTGCACTTGAAAGGGTTTCTCTCCAGCGTGCGTTCTTTTTTCTTTCTTTTTTTCTTTCTTTTTTTCTTTTTTTTTCCTTTTTTTTTGGGGGGGGGGCCGCCCAAGGGGGGGGGGGGGGGTTGCAACCCCCCCAACCCCCCCCCCCCTGGATCCGCCACTGGTTTGGTATATATATTTTTGTCCATGCCTTAATGACGTTTTACAGCTGATGAAATTATATAAAATAATATTTTTTACATGGTACCGTTGAAAACATAAATGTCGAGAGAGCACCCTGCGGGGATCGAACATCATCATGATCAAGGCTAATCACTCTCATATCCACTCCGTCTCTCGTTGTCTAGTCTCTTTCTCACATGGGCGTATGCAATATATTGTGAAAGAGGAGGCACAATATCTCGAAATTTCTGACAAGCACAAAGGGAGAAAAGGGACCTCGCGTCAACTGGAAAATGGGGAAAACAATTTTGGAGTTGCGTACTGATCTGATCTGATCTGTCACTTTGGTTTCAGGGGGGGGGGGGCGGGGGATATGTCTCCAAAATACTCCTTCCGCCATCCATCTAACTAAAAAAAAAAAAAAAAATCGACTCTCAGTACTAATTCACATTGTCATTTACGTTGTGCGAGCATCTATCACCCTCTGTCTCATACTTATGTCCATATCATCATCACTCTCACTTTTCTCCTATTCTCTCCATCTTTCTATCTCGAAAAGCTTTAATATCGCCATCCTTTCTGTTATCCCCCTTTGAAACATTGAATAGGCCTAGGTCTAAAGGACAGGTATACAGCGGCTCCAACAGGGAAATTGTGTAGGCTTACATCTTTTTCTTAATATGGATTCCGAAGTAAAATTTGATGCGAAAAACGATGGCACCGACCGATTTTCGATAATTTGGGCCGAAAATGCCAACATTTTATGTGTCAGGGGTTCACCATTGTTTTTATGCATTTCAGAACAAATATTTGGCTGAAAGTATTTGTGTTGTGTAGAAAACCCACTATGAGCAAAACAATGAAAAGACTTCATGCATGGCTGATAGTACAC